AAATTTTTTTTTCACAATTATACATTTCAATTTATAATGACGATATATTATTACCAGTATCAGTTTCACTAGTCAAACTGATATGTCGGTAAATTTTAATGAGTTGGGATCTAGATTTAAAATGCAGTTCAGAAATAAAAAAGCTGCATGAACCGTCAACATTTTATTTAATCTTAATATTAAAACGTGAAAAAGAATACTCACAAAATGTTTGGCCGGCCGATACTATTATTATACCTGCTGGTCTACAATATTAAGTTTATCAGTTTTCACCGATTTCTAATATGGATTGTGACTTTCTGCTAATTTTCATAACTTTGATCATATTTTATAAAATGTGTGATATCATCTAAACAGTTTAATGCGTGTAATAAATGACACTCTCTGCTCACACTTTCTCTTGTCAGTCATCACGCCGATATAGATACAATACTATTATATTATTATAACCAGCGCCTCCCTTTACAGACATTAATGTCTCACTTGCGTTTAAAAACAAGAAAAACTTCCCATGGCCGTGAACCAATCGTAGTCAAATATATCGTCTTACACTGCCAAAAGTACACACATTACAGACAAATCTTGAACCACCCATCCACAATGGAAAAGGCACTCGGCTAAGAGAGCACCGCCCAAATTTACGACTTTCTCGAGAACACGACTGCCTTTGACACAAGAATTTAATTTTTATTGTAATTATATGTAAATAATTTATAATATTTGTAAATGTTTATCGTGCAGGCCAATGACCGTATAATTGGAAGTCTTTTTCTCATAACAAAAAAATAATGTGTGTTACTCATTATTCAACAACAAAAAGTTTATATAGTTTTTTTCGTTTGTTAATAATTTCAATTTAATAACTAGTTTACAGTAAAAAGCTTGATATTATAATATTAATTCTTTAAGAAAGGTAATTCTATACATTATTTGATTTTAAAGCTTAAACATTCATTGTTTTACAGTTTTCAATGATTTTTTTGTTTTAAATTAAAATAAAAAAATATATTTAAAAATAAATTAGGTAAAACAAAATATTATATCATACGGAATTATCTTAAATAAAAAACTTGATATATAAAATACACAAATGAACGTCGAATGATTAAAACAATTAAAACTACATTAAATTGTTACAATTTTTAAGCAATTAATTAGTCTTTTTGAAAAAAAAATAGGAAATAGGAAAAACCAGATGGCTAAACTACTGTTACAAAACACAATATTTCATTAGTAGAAAGGGTTGGTCGATGATGGTTGCATTTATTAATTCAGTCGTGTAAACTGAAAATAATAATTAATTGCATTTTAAGAATGATTTTTGTTTTATTATTTATTTGCAATACTTTTTCATTGTAAAAGAATGTATTTTTTCAAACATAAATCCAGTGATAAAAAATATAAAAAATTTTATTTTAATATATATTTTCAACAAAGCCTCTATTTATTTCAGAAATATTTTTAATAATAATTATTGTATTATAATATTATTTACATTTTTGGAAATTGTTATATTCTATCGTTACTATCTATATTCTACATTGAATTTACTGTTAATCTTCTTTATGTTATGTAATGATTATAAAGTTTAGTGATCAACATTATAAAATCATAGGTTTTACAAATCAAGTTTAATGAGTACTGTTAGTATATAGTAACAGCTGTTACTGTTAGGTAAACCTAACTAACTTTTTTTTAATGAAAATATTATAATTTAAACAAGGTATTAGCATGAGTATTAGAGTATTAAAAATATTATACAATGATTTAATTTCAACTTCAACTTTATTTCAAATATTCAGTTTTGTGCTAACATTTAAAGTTGCGGTTTCCAAAATTGTTTTTAAAAATGCTGTTCCTTAATTTACTACAGACACAGTTACCTATAAGTTTGTAAATTAAAAATATTTGTATGTGTATGGATTTCAATCTTCCGTGGTAAAAAGTGCACCTACCTTCCTTGTTAAAGTTAATTTTGTTTGTATTGACTCTTACTTTGAAGATTATAACAAAATCGTAAGAACTTTGTTAAATTCCAAGTACTAATAAAGGGTAATATTAATATATTTCATACTAGGTGTATGCACTTCATATTTTCACATATAAAATAATAAGCACATTAATTGGTACGAGTGCCTATATTAAAATATAATATGAATTGTATTTATTCACATTTTTGTGTACATTTTAATTTTAATATAACGATGCTGCATATATTTGCTTTAATTTGAAATTGTTAATGTGAATCATTTTTAACGTACCTAGTGTAAAATTATGAATTTTAAATTTTAAAACCCATTTATTTAATTATTGTAATAGTGAAAAATGAAAATGCACAAGTAATGTTATAGTTGAAAGTCTGTAAAATATTGTTAAAAACTGTTTGTAAATATAGACAGCGAGTGTCATTGGGTTATTATAATAATGATTAATAGGTATCATACTTTATCATACGTATTAAAAATTTTAAACTGCTTAATTCCTCAAAGTCCAATAGATAGTTATCCCGATGGCAAAATAGTATTATTATTTTGTATAATACGGGGCGTCGCTCAATTGCAAAGTTACTACTTATGGATAGAGTATATTACATAAGAAACAAAGAAACAACTTAAAGAATATTTAGAATTGAAATTAAGATCGTAAAGGTTATATTAATATAGAAGTTATATGATGGATGCTCATTGTCTGAATGCATCATTCTAATTTATTATAGGCGGATTCGTTGCTTGATTAGTAGTGATCATGTATAGATATTTAGAATAGATATGCATGTGATGGAGGTCATCGTATGCATTATATATGTCATAAGTGATCAATAATCAAGCTAAAGTATACCTAATTTCAATAAATAATAATATTCAACAATCTGTCAGAAAACTTTTTTTATTAAATCTAATTTAATTAATCGATAGTAATTTCTAAAATTACACAATTTAATTTAAGATAAAGTGTAAACGCATGCAAATTCAATACAGCCAATGGGCATAGTCTCCGAGACCTTACTCGATAAAGAAAAAGAAAAAAGACATATTATTTTGAATATTGTAAAGTGTCTATAAAAATAATTCATTCATTACATTTTCTTAAAAATAAATAAATAATTACATACAAGAAATTAACATTCTAAATGTTATATTAATACAGAAGTAAATAGTAATGACGGACGCTCATTATCTGAACGCATCATTCTAATTTATTTTAGGCAAATTCGTTGCATGATTAGTGGTGTTACATGGCTAGATGACATTTAGAACATATACTTGCGACGAAGATGTGCATTATAAGTGATAAGTTTTCAAAAATCAAGCTAAAATCGATCTAACTACAATACAAATTACACATTGTTTTGATAATTTTTAAGTTTCTATAAACATAATTAATTCTCAACATCAATATTTAGATGAATAAATGTCTAAAACGTGTAGATTTACTCTCGATTTTTATTTTCTTAGAATGAAAAACGTATGGGTCCTGAATCATTTTGGATACTTACTACAATACTAGTTGGTTCCAGGATTAGTTTTGGCAATATAATATATTTGGGGCCCCAGATGTTAGTTGCTTATAGGTCGTTTCGACACGCGTCAAATAATAATATGATGTTCGCGATAAATTTATTTTAACGACACGAACATGGCAATAAAGATAAACGTGATGAAATCAGAATTTTCCAATTTTCCAATTTTATACGAATTGTTATAGTATACAATAATATCTACTCAAAATCGCACTCGTCAAAGTTTCGCATGCATTCAATTGTATTGTCTTGCAACGTCGAACACCGTGTCTCTTTGACGTGTGACCTGTTTACGTTTACTATATTATCCAATTTATGTAACACCAAGGGACTGTGCTTACCGAAGAATTACAGTTTAATGTACCATAAATATTGTAAATAGCCCTGTATAATGTCCGGCACTCGACTACTACCGCGAATACGGTCATACTTTAGCTAACCAAGGTTACTAAATAATTATTTTTATAATAATATTTATACATTTTTAACAAATGTGCGTTTTTTTCTCGATTATTTTATAAAGTAGTTACTAAGAATTTTCAATGTTGACTTCCCAATTAGATAACATTTGGTATCAGAAATATTCATCAAAGTTGATGATCAGAGCATTTCGTCTACAATAAAAAATGTATCTAGACACATAAAAAAACACATTAATGGCTACGTTTAGAATCTGTAATTGAATTATTATATTAGGTATAAACTAACATCAAACATTCTCTTACTAAAATATCCTCTCTGAACCAAAATCTCATGATTCTTCTCAAAAAAAATATAAAGGACTTTGACGTAATACCAAAAACATTCCCCCGTTCCTCCTAATGCATTAATTCTAAAATACTTTGAAATTTGAATTAAAAGTAAACAAAGCGTTGTAGCGACTGTTTATTTATATTTTAAGTATAACAATATAACAAACATTAATTTAAAGAACTCCTCTCCCATAAGTGTTTGTTACAGGTACAAAAAACATATTATGTTATTATGGTTGCATGCCAGTAATTATTATTTCTTCGCTTCTCTTGTTCAACGCGCAGTTGTTTACTCATAAACTTTACTATCTATCCCCCCAATATTTCGTTACTATTTTACAATAGAATCGAATAATAGTTTCACATCGGTAATTTTCACAATGTATTAAATTTTCAAATGTAAAAATGAATTGTACAAACATAACATTGGGTTATTATGTTGGCATGCAACTAATTATTATTTCCTCGCTTGTCTTGCTATCTACTCGTAGTAAACTTAAATATCCATCCCCCTACATTCCGTGGCCATTTTAGACTAGGGTCGAACAATAGTTCCACGTTCAACTTGCTGCAATTAAAGTTTCCAAACTATTGTACCTACCTATAATATATATTATTGCTCACCGGTATCGGTGGGACCAACGAAAGTCCGCCCCCGCAGGCTGCAGGTGACGAAAGGATAGAGTTAGTTTGATCTATGTACTTAATACGAGTGATTATTAATATACTTAAGGGATATGATGCACGTGAAGCAGCTGCCAGAGACGTACAACAAACAGACGGAGATATCCAAGCGGCGAAGCTTCAGCCACAGTGGCGCCGCCGTTGAGATATTCCTTTTTCATCGCCACATCAATCAATGTGACGCGTGAGATGTTTGCCGCCTCCGTTGACATGCTTCTCTGTTCGCGGCCTGCCGATGTGCAACAGCTTAGCACGTTAGACGTGGTTGTACGGTGTTTATGAAAACAAAATGAGATACTGACGCACATGACACATGCATACGCGCAAGCAGGGGCGTGTATAGTACATAGGCAGGTAGTGAAACGATGGAGACACTGTGTGGTTAGGTGTGTGTGGTGGAGGTAAGGGAAACAGGGGATATTCTGCAGTCGTAGTTCTTATAAGCACTGCATTTGCTCGGTTCTGTGTATTACTTACCTTATGTTTTGGGGCCAAGGATTACAACGGGAAAAGTTTTAAAATAATATGACATTTTGAAAGAAAAAAAATACAAAATAAATAAACATGCATTAAATCCAACAGTAGTCCGGGTAGGTAAAAACTATTGTATTTTTGATTTAAATTTGACTCGAAAAGTTGAACATTATTAAACATAAACATTATATTAATAATGATTCTGATATTTTAAAATTGTATTTCAAAGAAGATTTTTTTTATCGTTAATTCATTATCTATTTCTCAGCTATACACTTTTTTTTTTAAAATAAAATATCTTAAGTACCTACTCTAATAATTTATTGAATGACCTACCTATTGACTAAACAATTGTATCATTATAAATTATGTTGATTATTTCATATAATATTTACCATCAAAAGACAAACGTAACTTTGTGTTTAAATTGATAGTTGATATTGAGTCTATATGTCATAGTGTTTCAACTTTCAAACAATATATTTTGTTTGCATGTGTACAGTTTTTTGTAATAAATATTTGAGTAATGTATTTACATTCTATATCGAAACGTATTTTAAATTAAGAAATGTAATTGTTTTTACAATATAATGTTATGATAGTGGCACGATGTGGCGCCTTGTCGGGCTTCAGTCACTTATGTACTCTGAGTGCCAGCACCGGCTGGTGCCATTAGTTCCCGGATTGATGACCACTGACCCCCCAGGTTTTTAGTAGCAAAATCTGGCCACACATACACGTGTTCTAAACTAATGGTACCCACAGTAATATAACCACAGAAAAATATAGAAGGGACACTCGATCAGCAGTTGTCGATCAGTATTATTTATGGTTCTTACGTAAGTGTATAATTTAACTTTAAAGTCTAAAGTATCAAAAAATGCAAAAAAAAATTGGTCCACCGAAACCGTGGTTTGAACTCAAGACATTCTGTACTAAAATACACTGTCTTTTTGCATTATTTATAATAATGATTACTATTTAAACCAATAGGAACCATTTATAAACAACAATTTCTAAAGCCTATCTCGAAATCCCTGATTGAGAACCTCCCCGGGTTGGACCTCTTATTTACCTTTTTCGAGACAAAATGTATCCTATCTCCTTTCCCAAGGTTTAATCTATCTCTATACCAAATTTCACCGCAATCAGATGAACGGTTTAGGAATGCATAAATTACATAGATAGAATCTGATGGATAGAAACATAGATCGAAACATTTTTCTGTGTTATATAATATATATATTATAGATTAAAAAACTAATATGTTATATACCCAACAATCAACATTGCACAACCGTAGCGAATAAAAAATATTTTGCGATATGATTGTGCGTATTACAATATTTAACTGATAATTTTTATTGGTTAGCGTGGCAGTGATAGTAAAGTTGGAAATGTAATTGTACGCTTTTGCAATGACAGTTGTATTACATATGTAATAGACATGTGATGTATACCTACGTTTAATACATGCACTGTGCTTGCATGCGTATGTAAAAAAAATATGTATTGTAAATATATATATATATATCTATGATATTTTAGGGATATTGACTTTTTATTATAAAATTCAATTCCTGTGATATTTTTATGACATTTCACTACATCTGCCGTTGATGCAAACGTTAATCATGCGACGACCGAAAGATATTTTCTTGTCGTACCTGCCTGCAAACATCGTATTATTATTATTATATACCTTGCCTAGCCGGTATGATATGGGCGAAATGACAAAATATTTATTTTATTAATGTTCTTAGAAAACGTTTTTTATTAATTATTATTATTGTAAATAGTATGAGGTATACGAAAAAAAAAAATACATAATATTATGTTGACATAAATTTTGATGTTAGATAGTATAACGACGACGTGTAGATTGTCAAAATATTGAAAAGGGATAGCTACATACATTGATATTTTATAATACTAATAAGTATTTACAAAAATAAATACGAACAAAACTTACTGTAAATCTTATCTCAATGGAAACGTATTATATATATATATTTATATTCGATAACTAGTGGTATTATACGGTCGAATGAAAATAGCCACGTCAGCTACAGGTTCTCACGACTGAATGGTCAGTGTATAGAAATTGCTTTATAAGTTAGCGAACTACGTACCTTATACCATAGTTTTGAGGTCAGTAAGAAATCATTCATAGTTCGTATATATATGTATTAAATTCCATTTTCTATTTATGGTTTCAATTATACAAGGTCTTTAGGCGCTAATAGTCAAAGTTATTAAACCTTAGTACATAAATATATAAATTTAATTTTTCAATAAAATAATTCATTCATAACTATAGGGTTAAGGACTTGTAGAAAATGAATTTTTTTAAGCTTTTTTCAACACAGAGTTTAAATCAGGTACCAATGGATTCAATTTTGAATCTTTTATTTGAACTCTTTTCGGATTTTTACATCATTTATAGCTTACTTATATGTCAAATTTTTAATTTTTTATAACTTTGTTTGATATTTTTTTAACGATTTCAGTTAATTTAAACTTTTTACACACATTTTATGAATTATTTAACTTATAAAACATTGTATAACTTCTCTATACATTATTATTTATTTTTTGTTTTTGTTTTTGTTTGTAGGTTTTTGTTGACTGGGGGAGAAACACGTGTATGTTTGTTTTAGGAGAATTTTTGATTTAGACAATCGTAGGTATCTGTCATGCCCGGGTGGGACTTGTTCTCCGGACACCGTGACTTGCCCGAATAAAAAATCCGCCCGTGACCGAGGTATCGAACCGTCGTCGGTATGCGTCGCAACCGAATCCTTAGTCCCCTCGGCCACTCCGCCCCCCGTATACATTATTGTTAACTAATACAAATAATTGATATATAGTTTTTTCTTCTCAATACAACTTGGTAGGTAGATTTTTATAAGTTTTATATTACTCTTTGAATGCATTTTAGGGGATTTATAGTGCATTCTATTTTGCGTTTTTTGGGATTCTAATGCAATTTTTGAGATTTGAAATGGAATTTTTACTGCATTAAATTCACAGCTGTACTCAAAAAAAGGTATCAGTAAATAAATTTACAATTATAGCAACATTTATACTATTAGGTACCTAGGTGCCTCAATATGCAGCATGGATAATGATGTCAATGGAATGTATTTAAAACCGAAAAAAGATCATCAAATAAGAACTCCGGGCCATATCTAGGATACCTATATATTTTGTAAAATAATGAATACATGAAAGTTCCACAAAATAATTAAATAATATTTTTAAAAATCATGTTAAAACTGTGTCCTATCACTTATGGGAAATACTTACTGTAGGTACTGCAAAGTGTAAACTTTTAATCATTTTTTTTTTTATTTATAGTTTTTGAGAGTTTAATTTCAAAATTGTAGACAAATGATATATTTAGTACTTACCTGATGAAGTATTTATTCTATGGAAATTGCAGAGGATTTTGGGTCTAACTTTCCCACATGCTCCTCTCACCTATTTGCATCAATAACAAGTTTTCCACTCAAGAGAATGTGTAATTATTGTACTTTTCAGTAAATTATTTTATATTTTAATTTCGAACAAAATTACTTTAATGGTTTTTTTTTTTTTTTTTTTTGTACAGTGTTATTTTCAAATCGTTATTTTATTTTCAAACTCAGATCGTGCAATAATTTCGATAATAGTTGGAGAAGAATAAACATTATTACTATAAAGTAAGCACATCATTTATTACAAATTTAGTTCAGTCATACATTTGGAACGGTTTGATCTGTTTATTTTTATATTTATTGAATTATTTATAATACCTAACTAAATTAGTATTGATAAATATTATTTAGTAACGTTTAATGTAAAATATAAAGAAAGGTGTTATTTGAAGATGAAATTTACAACAAATAAACTATGGTGCCCATTGTAAAATCTTGTTATACCAATAAGGTTTCATCACTCTTCATTTGTTTACACCGATTTCGTTATTTATGAGAAGTATTTTATTTTTTTTTTTAAAAAAGCTAAAATATAGTATTTGGATCGTGATTATTTTTATTAATACTTACAAGAACTGAAGTACCTAGTATTAATATAAAGTAATTGATATAATATTTAATATAAAAATATATAATTATTTTGTTGAAAACTACTAATACACATGATTTAAAAACAAATAAATATACATTTATTTATAAACTACTCGTATATACGCGTCACAAAATATTTAATGCATATTTGTAACAGTTGGAAATGAGTAATGATTTATAACTTAAGACATGTTAATTTGTTTCCACTAAATGATGATCTTTGTCAAGATCCTATATATTTTAATGTTTGATATGCTTCTTACTTCTTAGGGTTTATAGTAACAAAAAAAAAATTATAAAATTATATTTTACTATCATTTAACTTAGTAGGTATTTCAAATATTATAAGAGTGCATGACATTTAAAATGTATACTAAGTAAGATTAAAATACTTGTCATGTTAATTAGAAAAATATAGTATTATTAATTTAAATTTAAATATTTACACAGAACAGTGAAATAGATTTTTTAGTACATCATTTAATTTTCTTAGAAACTTAACTTCTGAACAAGAAGCTTTTATGTTTTTAATTTTGTAAAAAATATTTAGAAATCAATAGAAAACAAACCCAACGGCCAACAGACATTTTATTAATTAAATAAATATTTATAGATATACATTTATATAGTGGGTCCCACTACATACTTCAGTACATACTTCACTCCCATTATCATCTCGACGAATAAATACAAATAAAATAAAAATAGGTGTGCAAGTGGGTACCACTCTGCTGTATAGTGGGTGTCAAGTGAGTCACTGTAAT